CGTCCGTGTTTGGTGCGCTAGAGAACGGGAGAGTGTTGCGCAATCTTTTTCTCTGACCGGACGGTTTCATGAGAACTTACGCCACTATAGTTTATCTCGAGAAGGGGGAGTATCTTTGTGGAGAGTTGTTCCCCTATCGATAATGTTTACAGCCAAGCAAAGACGGTCGCAGCCATGAATGCACCGAACTAATCAACTATCAGAAGATTAAAGCCGTCTATCGCGGACCTCTTCATTCACCATTCAAAGCCAGACCCTCAAGCCATCTGTTTATGATACCCTTCAGATAACCGAGGGGATTTTTCTATTTCTTATAAATCCTTTCTGTTATTAGTCTAATATATAAAGCCCTTATTTTAGCAATTACCTTTTTTTATTTATTTATTTATTTTTTTTAAGCGAATATAATTGCAAACAATCTGCTTGAGGTTAGTCTTTCTAAGTAGCCTCATTTGTATATACATACTATAAGCCTCCAAATGACCTCCAAATGATAGGCTATTTTGAAAGTATTATTTTCGTCTCACGTGGCTATCTATTCAGTGATGCCGCAGCGATGCTACCGTGATGCCACTGGTGTAGGTACAGGTTCCCTGTCATTGTCCCGCGAGCCCCAAAACCCCACACATCGAGTGCAATCCCTCGGCTATCAATCTAAGTGTAACCCATCGTCCAAACTCATCTAAATCACATCTAAATTATATCTAAAACTTAGACTATAACTCTCGCCAACATACCATAGCGCTCCTATCATGGTGTCAAGTCGTGTGGCATACCTGCATCTTGGTCTATCGACTCCTTCTGCTAGTTCCAGCAGAAAACATCATCGTTAGTGGCGAGAGCGCTGGTGGCCATCTTGCAATCAAAATTCGATCAGGCTAGGACATGTATGGCTCGGGGTTCATCTAACCAGATATGCCACTTCCTCCTATGTGCATTTCTATCAAGGCCAATTGAGGTTTGCTTTTCGGGGTTCCAAGATGCCATTAGCAGAAGACTGCATGCATTCCACAGTAATCACACCCTTCTTCAAGTTCACTCTCAAACTCGGCAGCTTCACCCGACACTCTGCCGGAACGAATTCTAGTCCACTACAGCTCTGTTCCTCGATGCTCACTATCCACTCGGCAACCTTTGCCGCCTGCAAACTGTGCCAGATTCCATTGGTGCAAGGCCACTCCTGGAGTATAGCGATAGCCTCCCTGCGCACGAAGAAGTTCCGGCATCTGGTAGCTGTAAAGAACAACGCCATGATCAGTCCCATGCCATATTGTAATCTCGGGCCATCCAAGTCCCGAAGTTCCTGGTCCTTCTGGAGTACATATCGCGCAAAATGGGTGATCCTTTGGAATTGCGCTGTGAAATCGTCAAAGACGGATTCTGTGTCGGACATACTCGTAGCAATGAGGATTTCGCACTTCCAGGCACATATTCGAACTTGGAGGATGCCAAGATGCTCTCTGTCAGTAATGTTTTGGCATGCTTCGAGAAACATAACTTCATATGCCTTGCCCCATTGATCCATTAATCTCTGGAGGTGCTGTTTCTGTTGTGCCAGAAAGTCCTGAGATGCTGGATCATTTTCGCAGCGGACAGATATCTTGGAATGTCGAAGAATGGAAACAGCAAGTTTAGTCACTGCTGTGAAAGCTTCGTTGAAGGTAGTGAACTGATCCGGCAGATTCAATACGGTTTCCTCAAGATTCAGGTTATTCGGATGCTGCTCCAACATGGGGCTCATAGCGAGAAATGACAATATTTGCAGCTCGAGGCGACGCAAAGTTAGCCCCACGTCGATCTCAATATCAGCAAGGCTATCGGTCGATTCCCGTCTCTCATCTTCACTGAGACGCTTCAAGATATTGAATCCGTTATATACCTGGTGTGTCGCTGTCTCCCAGTCCCCATGGAAACTCTCAAAGCATGAAAAGAGTAGACTCGCTACGAGCGCAAGCCTCATCTGAGGTTGTCCACTAGACAGATCATTGCGCAGCGATCGAATAGCTTGCTTCTGCTGTACCAAAGCAAAGCTATAATGCTCATCGTTTAGATTAACCGTATGAGAACTAGACGATAATGCAGATTTGTACAGAGCACTGAGTGCCAAAATTGCGTGTTTTATCCCTGGGTGATGATGGCATTGTTGTGGTATGAGCCGAGTCCAAAAGGGAGCTTCATGATAACCACTCAAATCGAAGGCCAGCTTCTCGTGAAATATTCGAAAATACCGGGCTTCTACCTCTTCGCAGCAAAGAGAATCTGAAGGGTTAGATATAGGCTGCACTGGATGTCGAGGTTGAATAGGAATGAGGTCCCTGCTGCTATCCTCCACCTTGTATGCCGCTTCTTTGGGTTGAGGGATCTGGTACTCGCAGAATGCCCCGTATTCTTCACATCTATAGAGTGAGCGTACGCAGTTAGCCAGTTAAGCACACATTGGAGCTTGTCACTTCGAGAAAGTCACTCCCCGATTACCTACCGATCACACTTTGGCTTTGTCTCATCGCATTTGACATGCCGACTCCTAGCATAGGGATTAGCGCTTTGAATAAAGTCCACGGTTCGCCTAGCCTGGAAATGGGAGGAGGCCTTACTTGCAAGCTGTACATCCCGTACGAGCTTTTGGTCTGCTCGCGCGCCGTTTCTTTTTATTGCGCACAGCGTCTTCCATTAGGGTAACGGCAGTTAGTTGTTCAAAAGCGCTGAAAAGTACTAGCTTAGCCTAGTCTTGTCGCCTCTGCTCCTACTTAAGCTGTGAAAGGGGGTCAAGTGCTGTTGAAGCTTTGATTATTTCTTGGCCTGATTATGAATGTCGTGAATTGAGCGGAAACGGCGAGAAATAATAAGTATTGGTTTGTTGCATAAACAGCCTGTTGCAGCCTAAGGCACCTAAAGATTTGAGAACTTTCTCTACACTTACTATAGAATATTTAATAACTATATTATTTAAATAGAAATATAATAAAAGAAAATAAAAAGTCTATTAAAATTAATATCTTAAAGGACTTAAAGATTACTTTACTTGAAATATTTTTAAACTTAAAATACTTCTTATAGCTAGAAAGAAGTAGGGCTAAAGTGTAGCATTACTCAATATTTATAATAGCATAAAGGCAGTAAAGATTAGATAGCTAAAAGCCTATCCCACTACACTGAACCTAGCTATAATAATGGAGGCACTGTAATCCTTCTCTTACACTACATTCGCATGGATATCGGTAGTTCGGGACATGCCGTCGCAAACTGCCAAACGCCGAGGTCTAGAACAGCGTAAGAAAGTAGTATCGGCAATAGCCGTGATAAATAAAGCCAATAGCAGTGCTGCACTGGAATTCGCTTGCCTTATTAATTAAGGGCATATAATAGCATACAAAACATGCAGTTAAGCATTATATGCTATCCAGCTCGACAACCTGAGATGCGTACCATCTGCTCAGAATGGTAGTCTCAGGGCTTTCTTCAATGAAACAACAATTGCTACCCACTGCAGATGTCAAGTGGTTCTTTTCACCAGGTGCGTAGATCTAACTCTGTCTCTAATAGCGAGGTACGTTTGGTTCTACATCGGGTCATGCCGCTCATGCGCAGGACTTGGGGAGGCTGAGTTGAAGCTAATTGTTGACTCAGGCTCCGAATTCCCGATTTGACGGCTTATGCCATTGTAAAAATGGAAGTGGCCTTATTGATCTTTAGACTTGGCAGGAACTTTCTGCCTTTTAAGTTCTGTAACTATTCGGATAAGCACTAGATTTATTAACTTGCGCTACTAATCTTCGCTACAGATTTTAGTCAATATATCTTTCCACATCAGGCTCGGGTAATTCCTAAATATCAATAATTTAACTTATTAAGTCTGTACAGGCTACAGGTTTAAAAAGGACAAGAATTCCCTATATGACATCTCATTTTTCATCTCTAGAATCACAACATCTCAAGCCTACAGTACATCTAAAGCACGCGTTATCTTCAAGCCCGCAACAATGGCCAAGTTCAACAACCCCATTCATTCACTCGTCCAGGTCCTTGCAGCCCTACCATTCTTCTCAACCACGGCAGCCGCAACCGCACCTCTCAGCAACAAGCAGCTAATCCCTGCCAATGCCATCACTGCCTGTTACGACAGTGACGCCAACTCCTTGCTTCTATATGCCTCCGGTACACATGTCGACATCACCAAAGACATTGCCTTTGTCCAAAAGCCCCTCGATGGCGGCCTTCTCTTTGACCTCCAAGGTCAAGTTGGTCCCGTCACTAATGGACAGTCCTACTACGAAATCACGGACAATTTTGACATTGAGCTCCCCAACATGGTTTATCCATCTGACACTGTGGTTGTCAACACTGAGAACCATAAGCAATGGGTGGTTGATATTTTGTACAGCGACGACGGTTGCGCCAGTATGGGCTCTAGTCTTGGCAGCCACCAGCGAAAGGCTAGACGTCACTCAAACTAGCGACGGGGGGATGAAAACTACTTTATGGTTTAAGGTATTTTTATATTATTAGTTTTACATATAGGGTCATCAAGCAAGGCAATCAAGTTCTATCTTAGTGTCTCATAATCTAAGTACAGTAATAGCAGTTGAGATTAATTGTGTGCATTAAAAACAGGCAGTAAATCCGATGGCCAACCGAAAGAGCCCGGACGAGCTGAGTGACTTCTCCCAAGAGGCTATCTAATGGCAGGTAGTCAAACGCTGTAAATTCACTAGCCAATCGTCCTCGTATAAATCAGCCAATCACTCTCGTATAAACCCACCAATCGCTTCCGTACTCAAGGATTCGATAACGCTTGTCTAGATCGGGTCATGAGTCCTTAGCTATGTAAGGTGAACACCAGCCAATGGAATATAATAAACAATTCCATATTCACCCTTGATTATTGCCTTCACCAGTTGTAGATAGAGAATTGCTTATTTCAGATACTCGTTCACGCCGTGCAGCTTTCAGTCTTTTCAACCTCGTTATATATTCATGGTGTATAATACTTAGATGGCTATCTAGTTGAGGGTAACCAGCTCCTCTGCACTTGTCGGATGAATCGCAACGCAACTATCAAAATCCTTCTTCGTGGCCCCCATCTTAATCGCTACCCCAAACCCTTGCAATATCTCCCCACTCCCCAAGCCAAAAATATGCAATCCCACGACCCTCTCGTCCTTCCCCTGGCAAATAAGCTTGTATCTGGACGGCCCTTTATCCTCCATTATGGTATAATAGGTCGCCGTGAAGGAGGTCTTATAGATCTTGATGTTATCCCTCCCATATTTCTTCTCAGCCTCTTCTTGCGTGAGGCCAATGGTGCCGACTTCAGGATGCGCAAAAACCACGGAGGGAATGAGGTTGTAGTCTAGCTTGCTGTTGCGGAATTGTTCACCGCCGAAGAGGCGATCGCCAAGCTTGCGGCCCGCAGCGATTGCGACTGGAGTAAGCTCGATTTTGCCGACTACATCGCCAAGGGAATAGATATTCTCCACGTTAGTGTTCTGGTACTCGTCTGTGATGATCTGACCCCTATCATTCTGCTTGATACCCACGATATCCAGACCGAGACCCTCCACTTCTGGTGTTCGGCCCACGGCCCAAATTAGAGTATCCATGTCCTCGAGCTTGCCCTGACCAGTTGAATCAGAATAGTGTAGAGTAAGCTTCCCTGTCTTTGTAATCCTCTCGATCTTGCTGTTTTTATGAATGTGTATGCCAACACGCTCGTACTCTGAGAGAATTTCGTCCTGAATCATCTCATCAAAGGTTCGTAGAAACTTATCATGCCTAATGAAAAGATGCGTCTCTGTGCCTAAAGCATTAAGCATTCCTGCAAACTCCACAGCAATATAACCAGCTCCCACCAGGGCTACCTTTTTAGGTTGATGATCCAGCTCAAAGAATCTATCGCTATTAATACCATATTCGGCTCCGGGAATGCCTCGAGGTACTGTAGGGTGTCCACCAGTCGCGATCAAGATTTTCTTTGCGTTGACCTTTATCTCGGTGCCATCGTGAAGCTTTATCATGGACTCGTTCTTGCCTACAAGGCGTGCTCGGCCGTGAATATATTCGACGCTGTCCTTCTCAAGGTTGTGCTTGTGTATATCGTTCAGTTTCTTGATAATTGCATCTCGTTTGTTTTTGAAGCTCGTCCAATCGAAAGGTGCCCTCTGTTCGACAGAGAAACCATAGGATTTGGCGTCGCGTAAACCTTGTGCCAGGTTGGCCGCGTTCCAGGTGATCTTCTTCGGTATACATCTGCAACGGTCAGCAATTGGGCAGACTCTCAAGAAGCGGCAGAATTACCCCACGTTGACACAAGTTCCCCCTAATCGCTTTGCCTCTACTACAATAACCTTTGCACCGTACCGTCCACTTGCTCTCCTAGCGGAGGCAAGACCTCCACTGCCACCTCCAATTACCAAAAAGTCGCAATGCCTCGTTGCTGTCGCCATATCTATAGGTACGTCTGAAAGACGATAGAAGATACAAAGGTTTTTTGGTGCAGTTTTTGAAGTCGTGTTCGCGATTGGCAAGGCGATAATGGTTACGAAGTAAAGTCAGGAGGGGAAAGACAGGATATTGTAGCGTGATTCTGAGCTATCACCTTGTATTAATTATGCATCACGACTTGTACCAGCCTGAGTAGCTTCGATTACAAGTGTGTTCAGGGGACACATAGAGAATTTTATAAGAAAGCATGTATTTATATATCATGAATGCAACACTGCAGAGTGTTTCTTTCGGAAATGCGGCAATTTGGAATCTTCAACGACTCACTGCGAAAGCCGAGCACAACAGATTTTCGCCTTTCTACGTGGCATCTCACATGTAAACATCAGTGACTTCCTCTGTGAAAGTGACGAAACCCGCAGGTTCCTCGTTGATTAATGCGCATGCTTATGCAGTTGTGTCTAGTGACAAATGATAAGCAGAGCTGACCAATGCTGACCAAATCTCACCGAGCGTCTGGCCGTGTTATCCGAGTTCGCCTGTGTGCCAACATAATTTGTCAACAACAGCAAAAGGCTCATCCGATCAGGGAGTACATAATTCAACATCTGGTCTATATGTCTTGAAGAACTGCTCCTCTCGTTCTCCCAAGTCATAACCACAACGAAACCTTTGACAATGACCACTCTCACACCCGTTGAGGAATTCAATGCCTTACTCTCAGAGACCTCGGTTCTCTTTGTTGTTTGTAAGTTGGCATTCTGCTCCTATCGTGCAACCTTTTATTCCCGTGGCTCTACTGTCCTACTTTATATGACTGTCCCATCTTGCTCAAGCTAAAGCTTCTTAGTTTACCGCGGCCATTGGTGTCCCTTCTGCCGAGCCTATCTCCAGACCCTCCAAGGACTGTCCCCTTCTATATCCTCACTCGGCGGCAAAACCCTGATCGTGACCTCCGAACCGGCATCTTTCCTCCCTGAAATGCGCAAGCTCACCGGTTATTCCGGGAACGCTATCGTTGATACCAAAAACACTCTAGTAGAATTGGTAAAAGAAAGGTATGAGTTGGAGATAGCGGTGAGCGAGAGGAAGGGCTACGAGCATGGGATGGCGCAGCCGGGTATTTTGGTCCTTCGAGGGGGCAAAGGAGGAGATGTGACAGGACAAGGAGGGGCAGTGTTGGAGAAGTGGGCGATTGTTCCGAGTGCGATGAACATAGGAGGGGCTAGTGATAGACCGGACTTGGAGCAGGTTTGGGATAATGTCAAGGCAAAGATTGAGGGGAAAGGAGTCGTGCATAAGAGCTATAAGACAACAGGCCTGTTGGGGTTGTTGTGGGGTAAGGTTTTTGGGTGATGATGTGAGTGGAAGAGGTAGAAGAGACGGAGAGTAAATTAATGAGCATAGTAAGTAGTCGAATAATTTGTTTTAATTATATTGGAATTGCTGTATGCTCTTCTGCTTCGAATCATGGAAGAGGTCTGATATAGAGTATTATGTTGGTTTAGTAAGAGTACCTTCGTAATCGTTGAACTTATTTTGAACTTCATCAACATTCCTCATCTTAACATCACAGTCGCAAGTTTTTCTGGTGTACTCGTTGAAAGAAACCGTTGGCTTGATTACGTCTATTTAGATCGCGATACGCCTGTGAAGGCAAGATACGGAAGCGATTGGCTAGTGAATACGCAAGCGATTGGCTGGTCACTAGCGACCCCGCTTCAATGCTTGTGGACCAACATCCTTCAATCTTAGTAAGAACTCTTATTACGCACGTTATCTATATCCTGCATCGCCGCAAAATGTTCTCTCGCCCTTCTACTCCACCCGACAAGTCCCCTTGGGAAGACGAGGACTTCCGATTCGTGACGAACGGGACCGCTTGTGAATGGGGTGAAGCATACCATCCAGGCGGCTATCACCCAGTTCACCTCGGTGATGTGATACAAGAACGATACCGCATTATTCGCAAAGTGGGATGGGGTCAATACTCCACGGTCTGGCTTGCAGTTGACATGCAGTACGCCTATGTTCTAAGAGTCTTATAGTTAATTGACACGATTGAGTAGGTTGGCCCGCTATGTATCTCTCAAGATCACTGTTGCAACACAACCTCAGACGACGAGCAGAGAGGTGTCTCTTTATCAGTCTCGACTCCAAAATGGTTCCTCAGGCCTTGTGGATCTATATGACACAATCAAGATCACCGGCCCAAATGGGGAACACGAAGGCCTCGTCTTTGAGCCCATGGGTCCAGATTTGACAACCCTTCTTAGGATCAGACCGGAATTCCAGATTGGCAATCCGTGGGAGAGAAGATTTACCAAGTTTTTTACCAAAAAAGCGCTCTTCAATACGATACACGCACTTCATAGTCTCCATCAACGTGGTATCATCCACTGCGACCTGCATACTGGTAACATCCTCGCTTGCATAGAGCCGATTGAAGTCACCCCAAATACCGAGCAAAGATTGAAGCAATCAGAAACTGATTCACGGCCGCTCAAACGGAAAGATGGAAAGCAGGACCTTTGGGCCCCGTTATATCTCCTTGAGCCTCGGCCTCTAAGTGACTATTACTCACATGCCCTCAACCCCCTTGTAAAACTTGCAGACTTGGGCGGTGGTAGGTTCCTTATCATCTCATTCCGCATATTAAGACTGCTGACTTTCGCAGCATTCAGGGAAGAAAGCCCTCTAAAGGCGACTGAAGTCATCACTCCAGTCGCTCTCCGTGCCCCAGAGATTATCCTAGGTGGACATGTCGGCAAGGGCATCGATATATGGACATTTGGCTGTCTAATATTCGAGATGATCATTGGTCGACCTCTGTTCATAGCGATTCAGTCACTAGAGGGGCAAGACTACGATGAGACTTCCAACGACGAGCATCTCATTCAGCTCTGGGAGGTCATTGGACCACTACCCAAACCACTACTTGAGAAGTGGCGTCGAGCGGATCAATATTTTGATTCAAGCGGAAACAGGCTGGAGGTTAAGCCTGAAGAGGACGAATATGTAAGCGGCAGTGAAGACATGGAGTCGGGCGATGGGACAGACGAGGAAGACGATGGTCCTCCGATGGCATATCTTGGTCATTTTCCTTCTCTCGATGACCAACTTATGGCAGAGAGGCCAGGTGATATTGGCGATTCCGAAGCCAAGGAGATATTAGAGCTGTTGCGATGGATATTCCAGTATGACCCGGCACATCGGCCTTCAACAAGTGACCTCACCAATCATCCTTGGCTTCGATTAACTACATAGGTAAAGTCACATGCAGTATAGTACAGTCGAAAGAAGTTCTAGATTATCTGTACTACTGGAAGCCTATTTTCTCTATAGCTTATCACTCTTTATCAAAAGTTCCTCCAACAATTCCTGGTGTGCTCGCAAACGAGGTACCATTATACTTGCCCATCTCGTCCCGTCCCAACAAGAAACTCTCAGGCGGGCCAAGGTAAGATTGCCTTACACCACCAAGATCAACCACAATCTTTTGAATCAAGATATTCGGTAGAAGAGCCCAGATTCTCAACTTGTAAGCACCCTCCTTGGGAACATCGAAAGACGAAGTGGTGTAGTTTCCGTACAAGCCCCAAACAGCGTTACCAACGGCGTAACCCCAGCCATCAGGCATGTTGGTTCCCTTGTTGGGACCAATGGGTGTGACGATCTTGGGGTTGGGTTGCTCCTTATCCGCTGGGAAGAGCGTGATGCCGTACTGCAGAGGATTACGGTCCCCGAGGTAGTTAGCGCCTGGGGACATGAAGACTGTCACGTTGACGGCTGAGTTGTTACTGAAGAGGTACATGTCGTACTCCAGAGCAGGACCCTCGCCGATCTTGAGCTTCTCGGTGTTGAGGGGGTACAAGCCCATACCAGCAAGAGTGCGACCGTAGTTCTTGATGGTATGATACTCGAGAGAAGAGTCATCCGAGTCGCCCTCGTGAATCTTCTGATAGTGAGATGCCTCAATAGAAACATGTCCATCAGACTCAACGAACCCCTCTTTGAAGCTATCAGGAACCTCCTTGTTGATAACAGTTACGACCAGCTTTGGCTCATCACCCGCATACTTCTCAAATCCACGGCAATCACTCGTGATGTTGATCATGACTTGTGTCGTGTTAGGTGCCTGAGGAGCATTATCCCAGTCAACCGTGATGTAAACACGGCTATCTGTACCATTGTCACCACCGACTGTACCGTTGTACTGCGACAACTGGATAAAGTCTTCCCATGGTGCTGCGCGCCAGTTGCAGCCCTTGTTTCCACGGCTGAAGACATCGAAATATCGGGACTGGGCGCCGTGGGGTTCCAGAGGAGGAAGTTCGAGGCTGTTGGAGGATAAAGAGTGCCAGCGGCTGTCGCCCTGGATAGTAGCGTTTGAACCCTCGACACCAACGCCGTATTGGCCGCCGAGTGATGGCCAGACGTCTTGGACGAATCGGAGATCGGGAAGGGTGTTTCTCATGGGCTGCTGCCAGTATCCGTCGTAGCCGAGGTGAGTTTCTAAATAGGTTAGAAGAGTCTAGATCAGGCAGAGTGAGGGACTTACGATCAAGCATGTGTGCCCATTTCCCATCGAGCAACTCATTCCATCGTTGCGTCAAGTTCGAGTCCTTGTACATCAAATCCACAGACTTCCAGATAACATCATTAGCAGAGTTACGCTTCTGTCCCGCATACAACTGGTTCCTCGCGCCGTAGATCTGGATCTTGTTCACAATCTCACCACCAAGAACAGGGTGGAGCAGCATCTCGAAGAAAGCAGGCTGATATTCTGTATCAAGCTTGTCGTAAACAGCCTGGGTATCCTCTTTCAAAGTAGCCCATTGCTCAAGAATGGCCTCGGCTTCGTGGTAGTTTATCACGGAGTAAACTTGAGGTTCAAGCAACTCGAACTTGCGGCGGGCAGCATACATGCCGTACCGAGTCATGATGTCCGTGATGGCCTCGACGTGTTCACTGCCGAACTCACGCTCAACCCAAGCCTCAACCCACTTGGTTGTGCCCTCCTTCTCCCACTTCTCAGTATCGTAGGCGAGATCCATGAAGTGGCTGATAGGAATCTCCTTGGGCTTGAGATCACCGACGTTGACGATCCAAATGCGACGGGCGTTTCGGTGGTATGCTAGGGTCATCTGCTCGGTGGTCTTCTCAAGTTGAATGGTATTGATCCACTTGTAGTTTCTGGGATCACCGACGTAGTCGAAGTGGTAGTAGACACCAGCACCACCAGAACGATCTGTCTCATTAGCGAGAGGTAGACGACGGATGTTGCCCCAGTTGTCGTCAGCCCAGAGAAGGGTGATGTCCTCGGGAACGACAAGACCGCGCTCTTGGTAAGACTGGACCTCCTTGTAGAGACACCACAATGATGGTACATCAGTAAGATTTTTCACCTTGAGACCTTCCTTGAGGATCTCTCGCTGGTTGTCGACAAGAGTCTCCAGCATCTCAACAATTCCGTCAATGCCGAGATCGCCTTCGATAGCTGTGTCGCCGGTTCCTCGCATGGCCATAGTCCAAAGACTGTTTCGGGCATATGGCTTGGCTCGAGAAACACCATAGCGGAAGTACTCGTCGATGGTCTCGTTGTTAGTCTTGTACTGCCACTCACCCTCGTAGAACGTTCGAAACTCGTTCTGTGCTCGCATCATGGGCTCAGTGTGAGATCCACCGAGAACAATCTCGTAAGCGTCGAGGAGTGGCTGGTTAAGAGGATCATCGATGTATACCATGCTACCCCAGACAGTGGGCCAGAGGTAGTTGGCACGAAGACGGAGCAGCAGTTCCGAGACGAGGGCGTAAAACTCGTGGTTGTAAGGAGCCTTGTTGTTCCAGGTTGGGTCCCAGCGTGAACTATGCGTGTCAGTGGCAATTCCTTTAGGTGAACTGAAATCACTTACCCGACCCAGCTGGAAAGACCGGGCTGCTCGTCATTGAGGAAGATACCTCGGTACTTGACTGAAGGAGACTTCTGAACCTTGGGTTTGGAGAGCACAAAGATCTCATCTCGCTTGCGGATTGGCACATCTGCCCACCAGTACCAAGGACTCACGCCAATCTGCTCGCTGATGTCATAAATACCGTAGATGGTGCCTCTAGGGTCACTTCCGGCAATGACCAGGGCCTCGGCAGTGCCCTTAATGGGATCTTTGACAAGCTGGCTGACAAAAGACTCCCATTTGCCTTTGATCTTGCTAACATCTAGCTTACGGTCTTTGACGAGCTTGTCAATGAGCTCAGAGTGGCCAATCGTGCCGACAATGATCTTGGTATTGCCAGCGTTGGGTTCTGAGTAGTTTGGTCCGGAGAAGTGCTGTTCATCAAGAGTGCGGTACTACATTCTTAGCAAATGTCTCTGAAGATTAAGAAGTACTCACATGTGTGTTGTTCTTGACATCCACGGGCTTGAACTTATACTTGGCCGGTGATGCTTTCTTCTGGCCGTTGCTCAGAGTGAAGTTCGTGCCAGTAACACGACCAAAGTCGACGGCGAGATCACCAGCAGCGCGAATGACGCCCCAGTACTCATCCTTGGAGACACGAATCTGACCAGACCCTGCATCTCCACCAACGAGCTGAAAAGCGTCGTCTGACTTGTTGAAGGCAACAATGGATTGTTGACCGAGACCTGCTACCGCCGGCAGCAGGCCCAGCAACGATAGGTACACCTGCGAGACCTTCATAGCTAAAGACGCCTTGAAGCTGACATCTCAAGCGCTGTGAGCTAAATAATTTGCATCTTATACACATGCACCGGGTAAATTCAGAGATCAACATTCGAGAAATTTACGTTTAGGCACTATCGTGGTTCATGTAAGTGGGACATTTTGGTCGACGAGACGGGGCATGATCAACGCAGCGTCGCATTGTGCCCCGCAAAACCAGGTTCATTAGCCACAAGGCCGGCTGTAGTCGAGGTCACTCTGGAGTATTGGCCAATTGGAAATATGTGCACAATTTACCCAGGGAGATCAGGCCAGGCCCCGGTTGACAGCAGCAAAACGACTTGTCCCGGGTGCTAATTAGGTTAAGGTAACAACCCCGCTGCTGGGCGGGAGGTTGTTATTTGTGGAATTACAATGATGCACGAGTTAAGGTGATGTCATGGGCATAAATGAGATCGCATGTTGGGCAGATCATGCTTATATTTGACTTTTCTAGCAGTCAGGATGAAATTAAGGTCCAAGCCATGTTTCATTCACATTTTAGGACCGCGCATATTACTTCCCTCTCACGCCTGTCTCCATGAATGACTTACTAGTAGAGACAGCGACTGAGAATCTGATTGGGTTCTAAAGTCTCCCAGGCTCTCACCGGCATGATCGCTTCAAATTCAATATTTCTCGTAGGTACCGAAACAATAACGACTTCCTTGTATATATCACCAGCTCTATCCAAACGGCGCAGGAGATGCTTTTTTATACAGGTTGCATGCCATTCCAATTCGCTCTTTGTTATATAGACTAGCAGAGTCCTTTCTTTCCCCTAAATCCAAATCTCGTAAATACCGAGGAGTGTTGACAATCTGAATACCATACAAATAACGACAGTGGCATAATGAACCTAAATCTCGCAACACCTTGATCTTTACCAAATCGAACTCAAGGCGTTAAAGAAAGCCCTTTCCCTTGTCCTGGACTGTGGAGTCGACACGTTTACGTGCCTTTCTCCATCCCAAACGACACGATCTTCTTCAAGACACTTCTTTAGGTCCTTGCCAAATATTGGCATCTCTTCAAGCTGTTCGATGGCCTTTTCTATACTCTCTTCACTAGGGCACTCAACCGTACGTTTCTCGACCTCGTCTCGCAGTGATCTCAGCATATCCTCGTACATGGCGCGCTGATCCACCAGCCGAGCAGCTTCGGCACGTTGGCCTTCTCGCCTCATCATCTCAATACGAAAGTCGTAATGGCCGAGACTGTTGTCGATATAATCGCCCCCGATCGAGTTCTTTTCCAGGTATACACCAATCTGAGCGCGCGTTTTGTAAATCTGCATCTGCTCGCGTTCTATGTCCATCTTTGTGTTGGTGCACTTTTGAGACTTTGCTTTGATCGCTTCCTTAGCCTTCTCGTTATTCTTGATCTTGGTTACAGTATTTGGGTCGTTGATCTCTCGCTCTTCATCACGGAGCACGTAAGAGACTCGCATATGTTCTTCCCACTTATGTCCACATTTAGAACAATCGTTTCCTGGGACTAGAGACCAACTCAAAAAAGGGTTACAACTTTTCAGTGACTGGTGTCCAACAATCTCATCGGGCGCGTTAATGTCGCAATACATGTGACAAGGGCGATTATACTTTGTGCACATCTTGCCATCGGCGTCACGGACCTGACTGCTGCAGGCCTCGTTGGAGCAGACTGTCCGCTTACAATTTGAGTCTTGCCGTACAGGTATGGTTATTTTTACTTTGAGTTTGGCGAGCTTGTTTTGAAGATTCTGCCCCTTCGTGTCAAGTTCATCAAGATCTCGCTTTGCCTTGTCGAGATCAGCCTTAGACTTCTCCATAGCAGCCAGAAATTGTGTCAGGGGCTTCGCCATTGCATCAAAAAACGCTCGTGCTTGATTCAGTCGCAAAGTCTTCTTAAGGTCGTGGGGCGGAAGCCGCATGACGGCCAGCATGAGCTTATCAGACTGCTTGACGGATTCTTGCCACATGAAATCATATTGCTCCTTGCGTGGCCACATTTTGAAACCCTTTTTGCAATGTGCCAGGAACTTGTAGCCTCCTGCATCGAAGAAAAACTGGTTATCTGGTCGCCTTGATATTGGGTTCCCTAGCTCTTTGAGCATGTGATCTAAAGGAGCTGACGTACAACCAAGTGAAAAGTTGGTGCTACTGGCATTTGTAAAGCCAAATAAAATGTTGTTTGCCACGTCTATATGCAGGCTTCTGAGTAGTTCTGTGATGCAGAACCTAAAGCTTGCATCCAGCCGAGTCTCATTCGGGTGCAGAAGGAGTATGACGGCGTTCAGTTTTTGGAGTTCTTCCAGAGCCTCAAAGACGTCTTTTAGGTTCAGACGGTCCTGATCGAGGCCGCTGGTGTCTAGAATTCCGGGCGTGTCAATGAATCGGAATCTCCTGCCTTTGATGTTGAAGTTGTAGAACTTGGTCTTTCTCGTGGAGGATTGGCCCTCGCCAGAGAACTTCTCGCTTGTGGTTTCCTCACCATAAGCAAGTTCCTTGTCTTCTTCAGCCTCATTCTGAAATGTGAAGTAGAATGGGATTGGATATTTGATCGGCTCGTGATCGGCAATTGCCTCATCCAGTGTTGCAAACTGATTGTACATAGAAAAGCTGTTGATGAACATTGACTTTCCGATACCAGACCTTCCTAGGAGGAGGATATCGTACTCTTCATCAGGATCAAGAGTCTTGAGTTGATCTTCCAGATGCTCATCGTCCCCGTATCTCACAAACTTTGCACCATGCCCCGTGTAAGCACACTTAAATGTTGCAAGAGCTGCTGGATACCGACTGCAGCTACAATACAGGTGCTTATCACCATGTTCGTAGGCTACGAGTTCCCGACATTGCGGACAGATCCACGTAGATTTAAGTCTCCCGTAGCAATACTCCCCAGGACATAGAACCCTCAGAATTCGTCTTCCAGGAGGCGGAGGGGCCGTCAGTGGCTTTCGGAGCCGGGATTCGGCACATTTGATAAGATCTTTTCCTTGTAGTTCTTCGAGACCCTTTTTCACGTCATTGATGATAACATTTCCATCACGGCGAAGCTCTATCCTTGGCTCTTCAGAGTTTATTTCAGAGCTGCTGGAGCTATCGGAATCGAGATCAACGACAAGAACATGTGAGTTGGGGGGCGGTTCGTCGAGGAGGTCAAATAGAACTTTTCGGTTAAGGGCCCAGCTGGGAGCCTTTGTCCCCGCTTCACTGAAGTAGAGAATGTACAAGTCATCGTTGTCATGCTGCATAATGACTTCATTCAATGACTTAATAGTGGTCTTCAAGTACGCTGCCCCCTTTGCCTTGACCTCATTGGCGAAGGCAATCTTTCCAACATACTCATTTGTAATAGAATTGTATTTTTCGAATTCATCGTTGTTACCCGTCTGTTGAAGCAGGGTCTGGAGGGCTTCCGTCCCCTTCGAGCCGTTGCGGATGTCGATGATTACAGCCCTCAAATCTGCCTTAAAGGACTCCTCGTCCGACTCTGCGTGTCTTTTCTTTGTCCTGGCCTTGTATATTTGATGGCCTGGAATGCAAAATTCGTGCTTTTCGAGGAGGTCGAAGTAATTCGAAAGGTTTCCGATTACTTTTGCCCAATCCATCAACCTCTCGAGAGCTCGGTCAACGGCAGTCTTGTCTAGAGACTGGAGGATCCTTGTATTGGCCAACTGTAAATTAAAAGACTTGGCAAGTTCGGAGATCGGTAGCAGATGGATCGCAATGGGAACACCCTTCCCATCATTGACGGTGCTGACATGCGACGGAATAGCCCGCACGAAATCGGAGACCCCTTCAAAGTCGTGAGGAATGTTCTCGTTTCCGACGCCTCGAGCGATAACCTCGAAGTCAAATGAAGTTGACATAGATTTGAGATCTGACTGAGATATACCATCAATAGACAAACCTGACTGGCCAATGTTGTGAACAATTCGACGGGCAATTCCATTGCGATCCGACATGTCCGAGGAGTCTTTGGCGTCCCGGCGATTGGTGTTCAACCTCCCAGACAAGTCAGACCCATCACTCCTATCCCGGACCTCCTGTCGAGCTGTGACAACGACTTGGGCACCCCACTCGATTTGCCAAACGACATGCGTAGCCTCTTCAGAGTCAAATGCGCCAATGTTTATGTGAGGTAGCAATTCCTCACCAAGATGTAGCTTGTCATATCGTACTCTCAAACTGCAAACTGCAGACGCCTCTTGGAGAATATTGCTAGACGTCCTCTTTGATAGGTACTTCGCTCCCCAACTTGGAGTCATTAATCCGCACAAAATGCTAATACCCAGCTCGGACGAAATTTCAAGATTCTGGAACTTTTCCTCTAGAGAGTTTGTCGCGACGCGACGGTACATCTGGCTGGGCAGGTCTTGCTCGATAATAAGCCCCGTTGGAAGAGTCCCGGTTTTGAGAAGTGATTGACCAAGAACCCTGTCTGAGCGGGCATCGTACAGGGCCCCCAGGGTAACAGCGAGGCCTAGAGCAGGCCGATATTCGCTATGCTCGGTCATTTGGATGGCGTTGGATTGTAATTAGTCATGCGACACGTCGGTTTCACAATCGTGGAGGATATTCAAAATGGAGCTGCAAGAATCAGGTGTAGTGAGATGAAGAAAGAAGACGCTAATGAGAAATCCGGCTCGGGCCTTTGAAGGTTATTTATAGCATAGAACGTCATCCTAAGACCTCTGATAGGATGCCTGTAGTGTGTTAGTATATCGTATCGGGTAAATGCTGGCTGCACCAAGTGCAAAGAGGTAGACTATTAGTGGTCTTGTCAAAAGGCTAAGCGCTGAGACTGCAGGTTGCCACATCATCATGCTGACGCGAGAGCCTACGAAAGTGATCGTATTGGGTAGCTCAGAGAAAAAGAACGCCTGATTGGCTGAGGTCAACATCTTCCTGGTGAATGTTGGTGGTGCATATCGAGAGAAGAGATAACAACGCCGCAAGAGAACTGATCATTGGTTACTGCTTGTGGCTGCAGACAGCGCGCATGTAGGGGACCCAAATCGACTCAGAGGTTAACGGTGATACGTCTCTCTCCGAATCTGACCTCTGGCAACGAAGAGGACGGCCGCGAACCAGGCGTAACTTTCAGTATGATATATTATCAGGTAGCCTAAGCAGCATCAGACCTACATATAAAGTCTTCTCTTTAAATCAGAGAATCGAAGCGTATTTTCTATAGCACAGTTCTAGTAAGTTTCAGCAGTATGAATGGTACCCAATAAGCCTTGAGCTCTCGACGCCCTCAAGCTTGGACCAATCCTAAGGCTCAATTGCTTTTATAAATTTCACTGCTTCAACTCCCCAAGTCCTATGTCCACCACACCAGGATTACCTTTTGGAGCCGATGGGAACATGAAGCCTTTCCATATAAACTTCTTTCTTGAAGCAGCATCAATTGCTATAACCACTAGCCAAGTTGATAAAATTGGGGCCTGCGACTCGATGGGTACATGTTATGTCGCCTATTCCTCGCCATATGAGTATGTCATCATAAATGTTTGTAAAGCTTCATAAACGAAACCGTTACAATTCCGCCAACAAAGTCGTAGAACTAAGATGTTCCGATTTCATCCTCAGCTGCATCGGGAGAGTTGCTGCCTTGAGAAATCTGAGCCGGCAGTTCCGCAATTTTGATCGAGAAGTCGTCTCGTCCACCATCTACCCAGCAGAGTTATGTGCATTCGCTAGCGCATAATCTCCAGATGATCTTTCTAGCATCAGTGGAGCTCATGTTCCCACCTTGTCTTGGAGTGATGCCCAATAACGACTACTATTGACTAATGCCGACGGTGACGTTGGTCATCCGGCTCTGGATAAAGTCTGAGATCTCTAGACCACGCTCAACTGCGAGATCGATCGCTGTTGAGCCAACATTGTCCTCAATATAAATATCAACGCCGCATTCCACAATGAAACTTGCCACGTCCAAATAAAAGTGGGTGATTCCGTGATGCAAGGCTGATCGTCCGCTGGCATCCCTGACTCCGATCTTTGCGCCGCTGCTTGCCAGCCCATGTACAATAGAAAAATGACCAATAGCTGGAGCAGCGTGTAGGGCCTCACTGAGAGCGTAGCGAGATATGGGACTATTCGACTTGGCCAAAGTATTGACAACGTCATCCAAGTTGTCATTGAATGCTAGAAGATTAACGCTGTCGTTTCTATGTGTTTGTAGCATGTAACAGAATTATATAAAAAACACCACCTTCCCAGATCTAAGAACCGGCTTCGGCTCCGCAGGTCGAGTTAAGAAATATGTCCCGGCCTATGCCTTATTATTTCCAGAGTAAATCTCAGTTACCACGTGAGGTAAAGGCTCACCAGGCTTGACCCAGTCAGCATTGTATCTAATAGGACTCATCTCATGAGAGTTGACACCTACATTGCCATCGATGGTGTCGTCCGCATAGGGTCGCCAAAAGTCCTTCTTGCCCTGGAATAAACGTGTAAGCCACCCCGGTAGGATGCCTCCGGGAATACGCCATGTCCACGGGTCTTTGTCCTTCTTGTTAGTAGCAGTCAGCTTGCCCATAGAAGCTGTCTCCACAGCCCATACAAGAACTTGGATAACGATGTAGCTGCAAATACCGGCAATGAGGCCATCGGCAATTGAAAATGTAAAGGGCATAATAGCGATGGTCAAGAAGGCTGGGATAGCATCACCCATATATCGCCAATTAATATTGACGACGGCTTGCATCATCATAGATCCAATCAGAATCAAGACACAGCCTGTTGCCCAAGATGGTATAGAGGCAAAGATAGGTGCAAAAAACAATGAGACGAAGAAGCAAAAGCCAGTCATCATAGCTGTGATTCCTGTTCGCCCTCCTTCGCCAATGCCAGCCCCACTCTCAATAAAAGCTGTCACGGGTGATGTGCCAAAGACAGCCCCTATAGTGATACTGATGGAATCAACGAGATATGCGGTAGCTGATCCTTCGAAATCCTGAGTTTTCTCATCTATGAGATTAGAGAATCTGGCCATTGAATAGAGGGTGCCTGTGCAGTCAAGAATATCAACGTAGAGGAACGTGATAAGGGCGCGGCCAAATTGGCCACTATATGCACTGATATCCCACTTTTGGACGGCAAGAATTCTGGTGATAGGGTGAAAGTCCACAACCTTTTTGAAAAAGTTGAAAGAGTCATCGCCGACCGGGGTATAAGGGAAGGCAGTGATAGAGGTACCGCGTGGCCAAGAACAGATAGACACAAGAATGATGCCTATAAGAATAGCACCCTTGACACGGAACATAGTGAGAACCACAGTCAGAATACCGCCGCAGAAAATAGCAAGCCAAAGAGTCGGGTTCTGCATCTTGTGCGAGCCAGGACAGGTGCCATCTTCCAATTTATCCGCAGGAGAACAGCCAGCCAGTTCGACAGGGGTTGAAACAGCACCAGTAATCAGGCCTATGCCTTCGCTGTATGTAAGGCCGATGAGTGTCAAGAAGAGACCGATGCCAGCACCAGTAGCTAGCTTGATTGAACGTGGGATGGCTCGAGCCAGCCATTGTCGAAGACCGAGGATTGTGAGACCGAAGAAGATGAGACCCTCGACAAAGATGGCCGTCATGGCTACCTCATAAGGGACAGACCCCGAGCCATGAAAGCCGACAACCTAGGAAGATCCGATGTTAGAAATTACAGGGCGGCAAAGCGGAATACGTACATCGTAGGCGAGATAAGCGTTCAAACCCATTCCGCAGCTGATACCGACAGGCCTGTGCAGAAAGTTAGCAGCCAATCATCGACGCCACCTGTCGAGACTAACATGTTGGCGAGGGCGCCAAGAAAGAAGGTGGCCAGAGCAGAGATAGCGGCGGTAGCAGTGACTAGATCACGCTTGACCTCATTCTTGCAAAGGAGATATTCCGAGTTGGCGGCACAGATGGGGTCATCGGGAGTCGAATCGCAGACACAAGTGCCTCCACTGTCGGCGACAATGCTGGAATTGACAGCCAAGATATATGCCATTGCGAAGAACGAGATGATGCCTGCTCGGATCTCAGTCGTAAATCGGGAACCAGGTCGCTCGCGGGGCTAAAGCCTTGGGTCAGTGCGATTCTCTTTACAATACTTCTTTGGTGGCGTTGGCTCACATGGCCAGATCCCTCCAATTGAAACCAGTGGCCTACGCGACTGTTGGCCACGCCATCGTTGATTCGACTAATCCACCCCATGATGGTAATGCCCTTGAGCAGAAATGATGCTTTATAATGGGAGAGGAAAACCCAAAAATCAGGGGAGGAAAAGGAAAAGGTGAACAGAACGGGCGCGACTCATTCTGTCAGCAGTAGTGATTTATAAATAAGAGGTAACTGAAGAAAGACAGCAAAGAGACAAGGGGCGGATGACCTTCGGCGGATCATGCCAAACAGGAAGGATGTCTTACCCCCTCCCTCCGGCACATTTGAAACCTATAAAACCTTCTCTATGAAGCAACAGACAAAGTTGGGAGGCGGGAGGTTGACGCCGAGGCAACATGCATTAGTTAGAGTCTTGGAACGGCCAAGCGCACGGATTATGGGAACTATTTGGGGAGGTCACCTCGGCTTGGCGTTAACTAATCGCGGGCTATGATAACGCAAAGTGAAGGATACCTTATTTGGCTAATTACAGCACCGGGAGGTTGAGTTTAGTGGCGGTTTCAACGAGTCTCAGCTCTGCCTGGGATTTAAGATATGCTCGGTGACTAGCTATAAACTCCCCAACTCTGGCTTTGTACATGCTGGTAAGCTCATTTTTGGGCTTCACTCTAATGTAGCGGCGCAGCATTTGGTTGGTTCGGTTACGAGGACGTGTGCAAATCCGGGCCATTGAACCGAAAAGGCTTATCTGGAAATTATCCCACCCTCCATCAGATCCCTGTCTGTTGCAATTATCGCATTTACTCCCCTTATCCTAGCCTTGAAACAGAGGGGCGTCGTTCATGAGATATTAACTTCGTATAGACAGGATAAGACTGGGACGAGTTGGCAATTTCCGTTGCATATACATGCCCAGCAAATCTCATCCCGCCCTCTGCGACTTTTGTCTCCATACTCTGCGAAACAGCTTTATCGCTGCTCTTCCCCTGTTCTTATCGCTTCCAGAATGGCGACTCCATCTGATCACGTGTTACTCCGTCCTTTTAATGATGTGACGAAATGGGCCAAGTTTGCGCTTTCACAGGCCAATGGGCATTCATCAGACCATGGCTACCAACAGACGTCACTTCACCATTCGTCCCAGTCGCTATTGAGAGAAGGGGAGCGAGCTTTGCGACGCTTGGTACCACTGCTTGCAGTGTCTTCTCCTCAATTGACTGAATTCCTAAGGCATCTGACCTTGCGCAACGGTAAGGACGCATCACCCAAAAGTAGCGGCCGCTGACAGGCGAGTAGAAGATGTCGTTTGTCAAGTTCGATCGATTGACATCTTACTTTATGATTTTGAAGATTTCATTGAGCCACAGACTTTTGACAAGGCCAAGTTTGACGAGCTTCAAGCTGCGACAAAGGAATTGGCCATCACTCTTGTAGAAGAGATTACACGGTTTACAACAAAGTCGGCTCTGGAATCATCACCGGCCCCCTCAAAATTCCCACCTCTTCCACCTCTTCCACAATTTACCAGTCCTCCCGATGTGGCCAGATCGAGCTCTCAGATGTCCATGCGGCCTCCGATCAACACTGCGAGATCTGGGTCTAGTCTTGGTCAACATCAGCAAAGACCCTCCCTGATCGGTGGTTCAGAACAACGTGACAGATCTCACTCTGCGGGACGTGCATTGAGAACTGCTGATTATTCTACGTCACGGTCACCAATTACCCCAAGTGGCCTCGCTTCTCCAGTCACCTTGCCTTTGACAAGCAAATACGCGATTCCAGAGCAAGAGGCCCAAACCTTCCGCTATGTCCAGGCTCATCGACGACAAGACAGTGATTCAGATGCGATTTTAAATAGTTTGCAGGGTCTGGATATTGGAGCCATCACTCCTCCAAGCTCAGTTGCATTGTCCCCCAAGTCAACAGGCTACCAGAACGCAGCCAACCAAGACACAAGGGGCTCCTTCGGTTACAATCAACAGGATACTCCTCCGCCATCCGTGACTACTGAGCCAGTTTCGCAACACGATTGGTCTGCAGCCATTGACCAACAATCAGCTGCTGTCCCACGCCCATCATCTGTGACAGCTTCCCAATACACCAGCCCAAAGCTCACAGAATACCGGAATTCGGGGTCCTACATACCATCTGCAGCGCCGCCAGAACATTCACAATTGTTCATTGTCACCCAAGGGTCAGCACCATCCATACGATCAGACGGAAGCGGTACGTCAGGTTCCAAAGCAGTATCAACGTCTTCTAGCTCGATAAGAAAAGATTCTACCTCTATGAAAAGCATACAGTCTCTACCGACCTATGAGATCGGATCAGACAGCTCTCTGGCCCTACTGGGTGGTCTATGTAAAGGAGCTCGAGCTTTTACCTCTGCAGGTCCCGGACAGGCCATCAAAAGGGTTGGCGGCGGTTCAGACGGTGCAACAAGACCCAGAGAGTATTCTCAAGAAACTTTATTTGGGCAAATGCTGGATAATCCGACCGAGACTTTCACAGAACCAACTGCACAGTGTCTTCATTGTGAGTACAAGACTCCCTACTCCCAATTGCGCCAGGATATGGATCAAGATCGTAAGTCACTCAATCAACCATAATCGCTGTGAGAACCAAAGCTCAAAGGTGTTTCTAGCATTGGCCAGCCAGCAGACGAGAGGTATTCTTCACCGTCCTCGCTTCCTCTTCAAATCTCATATTGCAGTCCGGAACGTCAACTCGGTGTACTTTGGTTGTCTCTTTTGTGACAAGACAAAGTCTACTCTCCAGGAAGACGACGCTACCGTGTTTCAGTCAATCGATCTCCTCTTTCGTCACATTTCTCGGCACGGCCATCCCTTGTCGCATGTTCCGGGCGTGGAAGTAGTCTACGAGCACAGTGATATAAACTCACGAGGGCGCCAAGACTGCGATTTATATATCCCAAATTCTACCATGACTACTCTACATGGCGTGACCCGAACCAACGAATCAAATCGACTCCCATCGTTGCCGGTCGCCCGGGCGGTAAAAGACCACATTCGGCGGACTAATGAGAAGCCACAAGCAAGACCTGATGCAACCTCGGAGATTCTGCAGTTCTTCTCAGGGGCGAGGATAGTTGGCGTCGAGTTCCCGGAGAAGTGGGACGGGAAGTGGTGCCAAGGCTGGCACGACGGTGTATTTGGAACGTTTCCAAGTAAATTAATCAGCTTGGATATGCCACGGCATGTCAAGATCGCTTCCTTACCGAATACGCCGCGAACTGGAGTAGTCAGATGGAAATTCGAGAAGCAAAGGCAGCCTGGCTGGCTGGCACTCAAGAAAGGCGACATTATCTATAACCTTGCTTGTGAGTTCTCTATCATCAACAACATGACCAAGATTGACACTTACACTGCCTACAGGGGAGGATCCACATGCGTGGTTCTGGAGTGGTTCAAATGCCAAGAGAGAGTATGGAATATTTCCGAGGTCTCATATCTTAATTGAGTCTATAAAGGACGGGTCGCTCAGCCATGAGGATCAAAGGCATCGTCAAAAAGAAAAGACTCGCTTTGGTGGCTTGTTTACTAAGTATAAATAAAAAAGGAGCTACTTTGGGATACAATTAAAACGCTGATAGGAGGTTGATAAAAGCTTTATCACATCGGACCTGATGTTATGTTTTAAAAATGTCTTTTTGTATTCTTCTTGCTGTATAGCATTGCCTGTATGATAGGAGATCTGGTTTTGATACGTCAGACACATGTTCATGAGACAATGGAAAACTTATCCTGAGTCATATAATGCTGCTTGGGGCGCGAGTAAGAAGCCCTTACGACCCTCATGAGCAGAATTGAACCTGCCAGACTTTTCACCATTGCATTGTGACGCTAACCTTAAATCTTGGAGCGACTCTCATTTTGACTCTTTCTCGCTGGGTCAAAAGCTGAATTGTGTTTCTTGAACATCCACCACTTCACCCAATTATCCTTAATCGCCAACTTGATCTCTGATAAGATAGCTGGCAAATGTTACCCGAAGTTCAGCCAGCCACGTCTGTATTCCGCCATGGTCGGGATCCGTGATTGTCCCGCAAGAAATAAAACGTAAATAATTCTACCTAGTCTGCAAAGTTTGTTTAGAGACGGTCGGGCTAAGCGTCTGACTGATAACCAGACTAACGATGATGTTGACCAGTGTGTGCACTTAGTGAGACTGAAGCCAGACAACGACGAGATTAAATGATGACGATCAGCAATAAAGACGGGCTAGAACATCGGAGCTTACGGATTAAATCAACTACCGAGCAAATCGGCGCCAGTTTATCCGAGACATGGAGACTTGCTCGTGGATAGGCTAGACAGGGAGTGGAGGCATACGCTAACAGTTTTTAGCTTGCAGAGTCTGCCATTTCGAGTAAAGATTACCCTAAAGGTGTGAATTTTACACCAAATATCAGTCTAAATTGTATTCTATACAGTCTTAATATTATAATAAAATAAGTAAATAATAGTAAATAATATAGAGGCTTTTAATATTTCTTTAAGTAAGTATATAAACTTGTTCTCTTGAGATGTTCTTAAATAACTCCAGCTTCTTCTTCAGCTGCACATAACAATCATGTCGAGGTAGCCCCGCTTAAGCTCCTGATGCATTTTCTATTCAGATTCTGTAGAAAACAAATGTAAAAAAAGCAAGAGAAAGAACGAATATAGTGCATCAAAACACAATAACATTGTCGTTGCTGCGCCAATGCACTTTTTCATTGTCAATGCAACAATGCGCTGACCCAAATCCCGAGAAATAAACCTTTGAGGCCCGTAACAGCAGAGGCGCAGGTAAAGTTAATTGCCAGACACGATTGAAACGTTGAGCTATGACCTCATTTCATGTGCCGAGACTCGCGAATAAGAAAAACAACCCGACGGAAACACCGCAAATGGACTTTTCGGGTCCTTCAGACACCGTCTGTTATCTACGATCTATTGTGACGTCACGATGCAAGATCCAGTAAAATCTGAACGAGAACGAGAGAGAGAGAGAGAGTGACTCAGCGCGCCTCACGGGAAAACGTAAGTGCCGGCCTCCGCGGACGAGACCGCAAAAGGCGGACGGAGCAGGGGTTTGCCATAACCCCCGACACTCCGCCTCAGATCGACAATGCCCCAAGCACTAAGACACCGGCACAAACCTAATTGCTCCCTTAGTTTTTCGCAACACAGCAAATCCCCGTCAGCCCAGCGTCGACGGCCGCTGCTGTCGGACTAGCGGGCACGCAGGCAGCCCGACTCTATGGACTAGATGGAATAGAGTGTCAGCGTGGCTGAAGTATGTCAGACGCATACTTTGGGGCTACCGAAGCTCCGACCCATGTTGTTTGTCTCTGATGACAGCATTGTCGGGGTGCTGTCGGGCCCGGCACTTGGGATGTTGGGGGAGCTTTGAAGTTTATGAGGTTGCTGTTATCTAACTTAAAGCCCAATTCATTTCCCCCAAGAAAGTCAAATCATTCCATAGACAAATCCACTACTTCTTTTTAATCTTAATTCGGCTGATCTGATCAATTGCCTGACAACGGCTCAGAGACGGTTGACTCTGTTTTGCGACTGTCACATTCCAGTCAGATTTACACAAAAACACAACAACAACAGCTTCCAAGGACCTCATTTTTTCTTCAACAATAAGCCTCACAATGACGCCGCGACACTCAACAGAGAGTCCACCAGACTCAATTGAAATGGAACATTCAACAGGGAGCGAGGGCACATACACCCGCCCGTCGCCCCTCACACGAAGCAACACCATGATCATGGACGAGCAAGACCAACAAGAACTGCAAAGAATCGCAACTGGCATTTCCCAACGCCGCAGGCAAAGCTTCGCAACCGTCCCCTCTAGAATCCCTACCATCAACGAAGAAGACCCCTCATTGGACCCTGCAAACAAAGCTTTTGACCTGTCGAAATGGCTACCGGCTTTCATGCACCAACTGCAGGAGGCGGGCGTCGGTCCCAAGAGCGCAGGTGTCGCGTTCAAGAATCTGAGTGTTTACGGCACGGGAGCGGCGCTGCAGCTGCAGAAGACGGTGGCAGATATTATTCAGGCGCCGTTGAGGATTGGCGAGCATCTGAAGTCGGGCAAGAAAGAGCCCAAGAGGATTCTTCACCAGTTTGATGGGCTGCTGAGAGGTGGTGAGACGCTTATTGTGCTGGGTCGGCCTGGCTCGGGATGCTCGACGCTGCTCAAGACTATGACGGGTGAGCTTGAGGGGCTGCATCTCGGAGAGGAGTCGATGATTACGTACAATGGTATCTCGCAGAAGGATATGATGAAGGAGTTTAAGGGCGAGACTGGTTACAACCAAGAGGTATGCATCTCATCTCCCTCCATCTTTGACATTTGCTAACAATCTCGTGAACAGGTTGATAAGCACTTCCCCCATCTCACGGTCGGCCAAACCCTCGAGTTCGCCGCTGCATGCCGTCTCCCCTCCGACCCCAAAAAGCTCGGCCTTGCTGAAACACGTGAAGAAGTAGTCAAGGATGCGACCCAGATCGTCATGGCCGTCTGTGGCTTGAGCCATACTTACAACACCAAGGTCGGCAATGACTTTATTCGTGGTGTCTCGGGTGGTGAGCGAAAGCGTGTCAGTATCGCTGAGATGATGCTTGCTCAGTCGCCGATGGCGGCGTGGGATAACAGGTTAGTACTGACGATGAGTGATGAGCTATGAAGCTGACATGAATACAGTACACGAGGTCTCGACTCAGCGACTGCTCTCAAGTTCGCCCAGGCCATTCGTCTAGCCTCTGACTACACTGGCTCCGCCAACGCCCTGGCGATCTATCAAGCCAGTCAAGCCATCTACGATCTCTTCGACAAAGCAGTCGTCCTGTACGAAGGTCGTCAGATCTACTTCGGCCCCGCCAGCAAGGCCAAAGCCTACTTTGAGAGAATGGGCTGGGAATGCCCAGCTCGTCAGACCGCGGGTGATTTCCTCACATCTGTGACTAATCCCCAGGAGCGAAAGGCTAGACCAGGTATGGAGAACAAGGTTCCGCGTACGGCGGAGGAGTTTGAGCTCTACTGGCATAACTCGCCCGAGTGCAAGAAGCTCCGTGATGAGATCGAGGTGTATCAGCAGGATTATCCTTCTGATAACCGCCATGAGGCTATTGCGCCTTTGAGAGAGCGCAAGGCGCTTGTGTAAGTTTTTCACCTCCGTGGAATCAACGGTATGCTGATAATGTGTATAGTCAAGATAAGCGTGCTCGACCCAAGTCGCCATACCTCATCAGTATCACGACCCAGATCCGCCTGACGACCAAGCGCGCCTACCAGCGAATCTGGAACGATCTCTCAGCGACAGCAACACACGTCGCCATCGATGTAATCATGTCTCTCATCATCGGTTCCGTCTACTACGGCACTGGCAATGGATCTGCTAGTTTCTACTCCAAAGGCGCTGTTCTCTTCATGGGTATTCTCATGAACGCACTCGCTGCTATCTCCGAGATCAACAACCTTTACTCCCAGCGCCCCATCGTCGAGAAACACGCCTCATACGCCTTCTACCACCCCGCTGCCGAAGCCATCTCCGGTATTGTGGCAGATATACCCATCAAGTTCATCTCGGCGACTGTGTTCAACATTATTCTGTACTTCTTGGCTGGTCTTCGTCGCGAGCCTGGTAACTTCTTCCTGTTCTTCCTCATCACGTACATCTCGACGTTTGTCATGTCTGCTATCTTCAGGACCATGGCTGCTGTGACCAAGACGGTTTCTCAAGCTATGATGTTGGCTGGTATCATGGTCTTGGCGCTGGTGATCTATACTGGTTTCATGATTCGTGTTCCGCAGATGGTTGACTGGTTTGGTTGGATCAGGTGAGTGACTTCTTACTAACCATTGAGGACATACTAACCGCCATAGATGGATTAATCCGATTTACTACGCCTTTGAGATCCTGGTCGCCAATGAATTCCACGGTCGCGAGTTTGACTGTTCCCAGTTCATCCCCTCCTACTCCGGACTCAGCGGCGATACATTCATCTGCTCAGCCGTCGGATCCGTAGCAGGACAACGAACAGTCAGTGGCGATGCCTTTATCGAGACAAACTATCGATACTCGTACTCCCACGTCTGGCGCAACTTTGGTATCCTCATGGCCTTCCTCATCGGCTTCATGCTCATCTACTTCATCGCCACTGAGCTCAACTCCAAGACTGCGAGCAAGGCCGAGGTTCTCGTCTTCCAGCGTGGTCAGGTCCCCGCTTATCTTCAGGAAGGTGTTGACAGGAGCGTTACCAATGAGCAGCTCGCTGTGCCTGAGAAGACGAATGAGGGTCAGGACTCTACTGCTGGACTTGAGCCACAGACTGATATCTTCACTTGGAAGGATGTTGTCTATGACATTGAGATTAAGGGTGAGCCGAGGCGTCTTCTGGACCACGTCACTGGTTGGGTCAAGCCTGGTACTCTCACCGCTCTGATGGGCGTTAGTGGTG